AATCACTTGTTTGTGTTAAATAGACTTGGTTTTAAGTTGGCATTCAACTCCCCTAGAGAAGGCAGGGATTCATTGTCTTTCTTCCTATCACTCTTTTCTTACACTATTTAAGATTATAATGATATATGTTTTTTCTCCCTTTGGTATTCCAAAGCACTAAGGTCTTGGCTGTGTGTCTTTCCCCTGTATGCTTGATTTTATTGGGTAACACTGAGAGGAACATAACCTTGGATGAGATTGTTGTGAAAAAACCAAAAACAATCTTCCCCAACACCCTACAAAAGCAAACCCTTATGGTTTTATTGTTCTATCAAGGATTTATTGTCACATTCCATTTCAGCGATTCCAGACATCATGATTAAAAAGTGGATGCGGGCTCAGAAAAATGTCCCATTGTTACTTTGAGTCAACTGCTAACTCAAAACGTTCTGTGATAAGAATACCAAGAAGACTCCATGAGGAGTGGTGCTGGGATCTGTTACAGCATTGTGGCTCTGAGGGACAATACTGCACAGCAGATGAATTTCGTCCTACCAGCCCAGAGAGTAAGCAGAGATTGTTTCTTAGCAGGTGGGTTTTGACTGACCAAAAAGGTCAATGAATCAGTGGATAACCAATGCACCCTCATGGAATAATATACCAATGCATTTTCTTGACTGACCACTTGGTTCTAATGATTTTAAGAAGTTCAGTATTGCAGGGTGGGATTCATTCACTCCAACTTCACCTATCTGCAATGCAAATTACTCATCTAACCTCTTTGGACATTTTGGAATGGAATGAGATAAATACATCAAATCCCGGATGTATTTATTTCTCTTCATTGATTATGAGTCCAAACAGGTAGCTCAGATATGGCAGAGGGGGTTGGACTAGATGATCTTTAAAGGTCCCTTTGAACCCTAACCACTCTGTGATTCTATGAGATGAATTTCTACTCTACAGAATTCTGCAAATGGTCAGATGAATCCCATCCAGACGGATTTCCCTTTGTTTTATGCTTGGTATTTTGCTTTTTCCATTGACAAATGAAGGAGAAAACTTCAGGAGGTTACAGAACTTTAGAAGTAAATAAATTCTGCAACATCAAAGGCAATGGGCATATTTTAGAGGCAAACACACTTTAGCAGCAAGTTGGTAATATGCTGAATGACTTTATTGATTCGATCCCATTTAAACAGTCACTGTAGCATATAATCAGAATACTTCAGTTTTATTCCTTAGAGCATTAGGAAATAAAGACAAATTGCCTAAATAAACAGAGGAACTATTTGCCTTGCTCCAGATGAAACTCATGTGTCAAAGTTCCTCACCGAAGGTAACATTTTGCTGTTGACTTTAAAGGCACCACAGTTTCAACCAAAAGGTCTGTTGTATCATACATTGTTATGTTGTTGTAAAAGGAGGATATTCTGAGCGCTGTATGCAAAACACTGAAGTACTATGTTTATATGCTACCATGAGTGTAGGAAGGGCCACAATCCCTTCAGAGGTATGCCTGCTGTGGCACAGACATAACCATGGCCACAGAGGCTTTGAGATGCACCTGCTTGGGTGTGGACTTATTCATGGCCACAGATGCTTTGGGGTGTCTTGCTCCCATGTGGACTCATCCACAGGTCACAGCCCCTTCGATTCGAGTTCACACTCAAGTTCCAGCCTGTCCAGGACAGCAGTCATGTCCTGGACATCTGCCAGACCAGGTGCATGGCCATGCTGTTATCAGTGTGTTCCCAGGCACAGCACAGTGAGATGATAAGCAGTGCAGCAGTACAGCAAACAGAGAAAGCAAAAAGCAGCTACTAAAGACCACTTGACTCTAATATACACTGAGGCAAGCAAGCCCCATGGCAAGCACAGAAGTCTTGTAATAGCCAACAGCATTAACAGCTGTAAATTCAATCTAGTACATTCCAATCAATCAAACCTGTCATTATCTCAAACATTTTAAGCCCCATGTTAGGTGCCAAAAAAGGACTGTCGTGTTTTAGTCCCAGATGGCAGCTAAGCATCACGCAGCCACTTGCTCACTCCCCCTGCAGCGGCATGGGGGGAGAGAATCAGAAGGGCGAAAATGAGAAAGCCCGTGAGTTGACATAAAAACAGTTTAACAATTGAAATATAATCATCATCATCATTTGAAACTAAATAGAAAATAAGAAAGAGACAGAAATAAACTGCAAGAGATACAAATGATGCAAATGAAAGCCATTGCTCACCATGAACTGACCGATGCCCACCCAGTCCCTGAGCAATGGCACCACTGCCAACATTCCCCCATCTTTATATGCTGAGCGTGACACCATATGGTATGGAATATCCCTTTGGTCTGTTGGGGTGAGCTGTCCTAGTTGTGTCCCCTCCCAAATTCTTGTGCACCCCCAGCCCACTTGCTGAGAAGCAGGTAAGTCCTTGAGTCTGTGTAAGCACTACTCAGCCACAGCAAAATCATCCTTCTATTGTCAACACTGTCTGCAGCACAAATCCAAAACTACCTGCCCCACACTAGCTTCTATGAAGAATATTAACTCTACCCCAGCCAAAACCAGCATACCAGGGAACAGACAACCAAAATTTACATACAGAAACACCTTGCTTTTAGACATCTTTCTTCCCCAAAGTAGATACAGGATTGGATTGGTGTACGAGCCAGCATAGGTTGTGCCAACCTCATGTCAGTGTTCATCACAAATCCCCAGCAGTAATACTCAAGTTTACAGCTGCCTGAAACTACCTACTTCTGGTAGAAAGGGTAAGATATCATTTCCCCTTCATGCCCATCCATTAGGCATCTACATCTCCGAGTGCCCTCTCTATGGGAGACCTGGTCCATTATTCAAAGAGGAGAAAATTCCTTCTCATGGGAAGGAGTAGAAAGAAGAGGAAGATGCAACTCTCTCTGTGTTTTGCCTTCCTACTCCCAATTTTTTCTGTAGAGATAATCCAAGAGTTCAGCCACCATCCCATGATCTGGGTGATTCAGGCTCAGCTCCCACGATTTCAAATCACGGGTAAGGTATGTACAGGAAAAAACAGTCTGGGGAGGAGGAGGAACCAGAACTCAGTGTTTCTCTTTCCAATGAGTACAGCTGGGTTATGGAGTCATGCTTTTTCTCTGATCCAACAAAGTTTGAATCCTTCTGGCACAGTTTCTGAGGTTCAGCAGCCAGAACTGTCTGGTAGCTAGATGACTTTCTGGGAGACACACAAATTTCTGAAAGCAGCTCTCACTGCTTGGCCTAATCGTCTGAGTGCTAGGGAAAGGGTGGGAGATGGGACAGAAACTTCTCATCTGGATGTGTTTTAAAAGAAAGTGATTGCTGCAGATGAATTTTACCTGAACCCAGTCCTGTCAGTATAAGGGCATGGGCAAAGGAAAGCTTTTAATATATTTATTAGCAACACTTGCATGGCTCTGTCAAGGTAAGAGGAGTCTGGGTGTGCTTTGAGACAGTTGTGGGCACCAGAGGGGTCTTAAAGTAGAAGAGCGTGGTCTGTGGTTTTCTTTTAAGAGCAGCTGTCTGAAGGTGTTTAAAGTTGCTCCTAAAGATGAAGATGTGGTCCCAGTGGGACTGGTGAAGACAGTTAGCCCCCAGCACGCAGCAGTGAGGCCATTGGCATGCTGTGGAAAACCTCAGCAGATCCCTATGGGCATCATTAGACATCTCCATGCTTTTAAAAACCCTGCTCTCTAATGCCCATTACTTTCTGTCAGGGAGCTGTCAGGGCCAGCAGTTCTCATAATGCCCAGGGAGCTGTCAGGGCCAGCAGTTCCCAGGGTGCCAGGACCACATGGGCTTCCCTGGAGCGTCGGGGCAGGGACTGGCAGCCATGGTCCATCCCACCACCCCAGCCAGAAGCAGAGCAACTGAGGGACACTGGGGCTTCCCCAGCCCCAGGCATTGGACATCTCCATGGGAACAGGCTGAGTCCAGACCAGGACATGGGCCCATGGATGGGCCCAGCTTGGTGGGACTCCATGGCCAAGCAGGGCAGGGCTGTGGGGAGCTGGAGACCAGTCCTGCTGTGGCATTGCTGGGGCAGGGGTCAGTGGCCCCATGGGTCATGGACATGGGGTCCAGGGCCATGGACAGGGCAGGGGGAGCCCTAGGGGGCTGGGCAGGGACAGTCAGGGCTGTCAGTGCCTCAGAGGCCCAACACTTGCAAGCACAGGTCAGCCCCATATATGCTTTCTATTGCCACTGCTGCGTTACCAGCCATGCCTGCTGCCGTCCACCAGTGGGCTGGGGAGCCCACTGTTCACCTTAGCCATCCTGGGTGAAGGCTCACCCACGTGGCTCCTGTGTATATCTTGCCTCCACATGGGCTTGGATTTCACCCTTGATGCGTATTTGCAAAACGTGCCACCAAATCCAACTCCCATATGCAACCTAAGCATCATTTGGACCATCTCAGCTGTCAGGATATTGACTTAAATGTCCCTGCAGGGGGAAATGTGGCTTTCCTATTCGGATGGAAGTTAGTCCCTGTGTGTCTCACAAGTAACAAAACCCTGGCCTTATATACCATATCGAGCGTCACACTGACCTGCGACACGCGCAATGAAAACACCCCGCCCCACCAGCAAAGCTGCCTGGGGGCATGTGATTCCCGGGAGCAGTCAGCCCCCGCAAGATGGTTTGCAGCTGTTTAGGGTGACTCTGCTACGGGTGGCGTAACGCCCGTGTGGACACCCTGCATGGTGAACTCAGCATCTCAACATGACTTAAATGTTATCTTCAGACAAAATAAACTCCTCAGAAACATAAACAAAGACGTTTATTGCAAATAAAATTTCACATTCACATCATTAAATCTTATGAAGTATAAGGAGGTCATTTCGCAAATTGTGAAGCATCCATGTGCACAAGGGCTGCCGTTTTCATCAGAACAGCTGCCCGTGACACACGTATATTTATCTGAATGTGCCAAGCCAAATATCCCTCTATCTACAAAGGTTTTGATTTGGCTGGTGACATCGTTCTGACACTTCCACAGTTTCATTTTCTCTGGATCTGGCAGTAGAGGCTCATAGAAAACCCCAAACCGAGAATCTGGAAAACAAAAACATTTCTGGTATTACTTGGCAGTCCTGGAAATCCCAAGATACAACCGATACACAGTGGGAACATTTTGTTTGCAAATGTCTTGGATTTACATGCAGGCTAAATCTGCTCTGCAGAAGATCTTTTCCAATGCAGTTCTTAAAGAACATGGCTCTAGAATACAGCCGTTCTAACGAAATCAGGGTGTACCACAGGTAAGACTGAAGACACAATGGAAAGCTTTCATTTGTTTAAAAGACAGATTGCCTCTCTGGGTAGGGAACCCTGTAACCCTGGGGGGTTAAACAGCAGTTGTTAGCTGCAACGAAGCAGCAAATAACGAGAAGTTCAAGAAATTCGGAAAAAAATTCAATTTTTTATTTTCTAAGAATGTTGGAGGAAGTGTTTGACTCTATTGTGTATTCTAAGGGTTCTTTCCCTTTGAAATCTCTCTTCTTTTCCACTGTCACTCTCTTTTATGTAAATGTATGTGTACAGGCATATATCTATACACATACCCCACCGTTTCGAGTGGCAAAAAATATTTTATATTCATTGGCAACAGATTTGGGATGGAAACACTGAGTCCACTGAAGAAACTGTTGCTTAAAAAATAAAATTCAGCAGGGTCGCTGCAGTGGGAATTACTGGGTGAAATTCCACAGCCTGTGACAGACAGCTGGCGAGATCAAAAGATCAGAAAGCTTCCTCTGGATTTAAAATTAACCATTCTGTGAAGGTGTTTCACAAAAGTGGAAAGTATCCACATGACATTTATGAAGCCGTGAACAGCAGGAGGATTCAGTCATTTACAGAAGAGACAGCGGAGAGTGTATGGAACACAGGGGTACGGCTGGGACGAGGACATGAGCTCACAGCTGGAATAAGCAGTCACAGCTTCCCTGACATACCATGCCCACGTTCTCCCTTGTGCCCAAGTGAAACTGGGCTGTTCATCTCAGTATCATTTCCACTAACAGGGTGAGTTGAAACCATTAACATCCCACAAGTGGCATTATGGAGCAGGCAGAACGGAGAATGCTATGGAAGAGCACTTTTCCTTGTCCACTTCTTTTTATCTGGATTTTTCCAGAGCAGAGATGGTTAAGCATGTGGCCTTTGATTTGAAATTACTTGAGAAGTCCTAAGTTAATATCTTTGGAAAGGCAAAATGTTTATCAAGTGTAAATTGCCAGCTGACAATTTGTACCAGCTGAGGCTCATATTGTTTATTCATGTTGTTTTCTAATCTTTTTATGATTGGGACAGGCAGCCACCAGAGAAAATGCCAACTGGAGAACAGGGAAGAATGATGGCCAATGAAGTAAAAGCTACAACTCATGTAACTGCAGTAACTAGAGCAAAGTGACTTATAACTTAACTTCGGGATACAGATGCAATTTTACACCTCTATTACATTTTTAAAAGCCTTTTAATATTGGTGTATTTCACGTATTTTCCGCCCAAAGTCGAGAGGCCTGGCCCCCCACATAGAGCACCTTAAATAACATGAAGCCTGTCCTGAGTAAGAAGTTAGTGGCCTGTCCTCTCCCAGCGCTGCAGCTGCGAAACTCTTCCCTGCTTACTATTATTTTCCTGGAAATGTATTTTTGAGTTGGGGCTCTTGCCCACTCTTCTACCACGAGGAGCAATCCCCTGCCAATGATGTTAAGAACTTTTCACTCAGAATAACAGACTGAACTCTGCACAGCAATCTTCGTCATTTCTGCTTTTCCCTCAAACATCCATCGGCGGGGGGTGGGGGAGGAGGGAAACCACAGAGGAATAGTGAAAAGAAAGAAAATGACTGAAGAAAGCAACATGATGAAATCCTGTTTCTTTGTCATTTTCTCCTAATCAAAGCCTGTCATTCATCAAGTGGCTGACTGGATAACGTCACTGTTTTTCCTCCTCTCTTTGGAGAAAATTTTGCATGTTTTTCTTCAGTATATGATGAAGCAATTAAAATAAAGAGCTCACATACTCTGCTGGGCTTTTTCCACACAGGAATATATGGAGCAACACAGGTGTGCACTCAGTCACATTCACGCACCGCCTTGATGGCTAAATTATGTCCTTGGAATAATAATTTCGTATCATGATTTCTCCGTGATAAGAAGATGATGTTTAGGGGCTACGTTTTCTTATGAGATGACTTTTTTCCTCAAGCAAAGGAGAGAAAGAGGAGGAAAAGACCGGCTATTCTGCCTCATGTCTTCCCAGGGCTGGGTATCCGCACAACCCTCTGTCCACAGGGCTCGCTGTTAAGGCACAGCTGGGCTCCACGACTGTCAACTCTCTGCAGAAGAAGTGCCCCGTGAACACTTACACAGGCAGCAGGGTGGTCTGATCCCACCTGAAGTTCTCAGCTCAGCAGCCGTAGAGCGTTTATATGAAATAACAGCGAGATTATAGCTAAGGTGAGAGGTGGTTTTCCCTTGTCTATTAATTCAGTAAGCCAGGTGTTTCAATCCCATTCCCAGTGTATTTCTAAGGAGAACATATTGCTTGCCAGCTACTAAATATTTTAATGGTGTATACTGGTACCTCAACAACAGCCAGTCCAAAGGCAATCCCCATAATTATAAGCAGATGGTCTTCAAGGTATTTGATAATCACATCACCACAGGGCTGAAAAATAGGACAAAATGATTAATTATCAGTAAGCAATACTGTCCTAAGGTTATTAGGAATGCATCCTCCAAAATAACTCCTTTCACGCTCTCTCTTCCTCTCTCTGTTGAAGAAAGGTTACTTGAACTTACTCTGGCTCGTTGCTAACAAAGTACACAGCTCTATGCACCTTGTGCTCTAAGAAAGAGATCTAGGCTTTGCCTTCCCAAATATGAAGATGAATTTAGTAGCTGACCATAAAATGGTACAATATCAACTGAAGAGATGCAGCTGTATTGCCTAATGTTTGCATGATTTTCAGCTGACAAGGAAGGAAGCATTTATTCTTACTTCCACTTGATCATTTGCTGCTAGGAAAGAGCCAATGCAGCGATGACCAGATCTGAAAGAGAACTTCAGTTTTCCACTAATAAGATCTTTGGATTTGAAACTTCGAAGCCTATTATAAGAATCAGGCTTATTTGGATATAAAACCTAGCTTAAATATTAATTTTGACAAATGTTTGGTGGTCTTGGGCTGGGCTGGGAAGAAGAGAGTGATCGTATGTGAAGTTCTATGCAGAGCTACTCTCCTTTTCAATAAATGCATACATCTGTTCTTATAATGATTACATCTTCTGCAGGCATTGAGAACATTCCTTCTGCAAACCGTAGGGAAAAAATCCATCAAAACTATGGTACTCTTCCAACACTGCAACTGCCCTCCCCCCATATACAGTTATATTCTTTCACCATATTTCCTCCCTCACAGTAAACACATGGGTCTTCTTCTAGCCCTTCTAAAAACCCCTTTCATTTAAGCTGACTCAGAACTGCACTGAATTTCAAATCTTTTCTCCTGGATCACAGGAGTTGAATGTCTTTCCTAGCATCTAACACCACCATGAAATCTGTGTTTTCATGTGAGCAGTATCTTGCACCTGCAGTAATTTCACTGATGGCTTCTCATGTGTCCTTTGAGGGTTTGCCTGAGGCCAAAAAGACATTAAAATGTGGCCAAAACAGCCTCTTTGTATACATCTTATTTCCAGATTGAGTTCTGGCATCCTCTACTTAACCAGACTGTTTCCTTGCTTTAAAACAGTATTTGCTTCTGTGGGACTACACAGGGAGGAAATTAGAGTTCAGGCAGAACCTGGCTGAGGAGCTATGCACTTAGAGATGGACATTTCACATCCAGATTTGGACATTTCCTAAAATCTGCTTTGTGCTAGGTGCAGATTGGCAAACTTTGTACCACCAGCATTCTAAAAATCAGCCTTAGCCCTTTGAAAGCCTCTGAGTCAACATGTCTACCACCAGAATAAGCCTGGGTGGGAACATACATAACATTCTGAGGGAGGAAGGAGAGCCAAAGGGTAGCTGATGTGCTGCTCTGGCCCAGAGGCATACCCTGACCCCAAAGACACAATGGTTTTCACCCACAGTAGCCATGCAGACTGCTGAGGGTACTGCACTGCACAGCTGAGACAGAGGCATCCCAGGAAGAGGAAGCAGCAGCGTATTTCATGTATGCACAGTAATTTTGTAACAGATGGCACAGGGGCAGTTCTGGCTAACAAAGAGAAGGCAAAACTTTGCCTTTTTGGAAAGACACAGAATTGCTGACTTCTCCAGTCACCGAAGACAGCCTTGGGTTAAAACCTCTTTTTGGAAAGAAGAGTGTAACATTATTTTTCTTTACCTTTTTATAAATATATCTGCCCTGCACGAAGACGCAGAGGTCTCTTGGTGAGTCCTTTCTTTCACACTCACAGATCTTACTGTTACCAAGAGGAGTATTAAAATTTTTTCCCCAGTCTGCAGGTCCATTCAGCAAACCACAGCACTGCTCCTGCAAGAAAGGAAGAAATGGGGAAATGAGGAAAAAAGTGGTGATTGATAGTTTGAAGAGTGTCAGGGAGCTGAGAGATACGACAGAGAAATTTCCTTTCATCTTTTTCCCAAGTGAAAGTTTTCCCAAGGTGGTATGTCGCAAACACTATTACATTTCCATATCAGTTATAAGAATATAAGAGCACAAGTTAAAAAAAAGAAGAAAAAAGAACAGATTTCCAATATACAGTGCTCAAAAAACATTAACATACTATAATGATAGTAATTATCAGTACCAGAATGGGACTGGAACGTGGAACAATGCTGGGTGTAGTGTATTTTGCAAATTGAATCTTCTTTCTGCATGTTATACTTGCAGAAGGTTAAGTAACAGCTCCAGTAACGTCCACATTTCACATTTTGAAAAGCCAGGATGAAAATTTAAAATTCAGATACATAAAACTCTGAAATCTAGAAAAATAACCACCTTGAAGGATGGTTATCCCTTTAAATTAGAAATGGATTGAGGAGGCCAGGGCTCCATTTGGGGTTTGTGAAACCTAAACCAGGTGCAGTTTCACTTCATGTTCCTCTTTATTCAAGCCACTAAAGCTCAGGGGTGCAGACTTGGGTTTGAGCCCCTCCCTTTTTAAAAAGCAGCTGGAAATGTTCACATAATTTTGTATAAAAGCAAAGGCCATGGGACATAATAAAGAAATCCTGGTCTACTTAAAAATTAATACAGTAATTATGGGATTTTTCATTTTGCTCACCCTTCAATCATCTCTCCAGGGAGCTGCTTATTATATCAGAAAAAATAAGCTGGCTTAGAAGCAGAGGGCAGAGCTGGAGAAGGGATGGGGAAGGAGAAGTGGAAGTAACATAAGCCACCCAAATATTGTTTCTTGCTTCCTTCTCTTTCACACCAGCTGCCTTTAAAAATACAGGAATTCTTTAAGCCTACCCATCAAAGTCATTACCCATGAGGGACTGGGGAAAAAAAAAACCAAAACCAGCAGGCACTCTGACAGTGTGACACAGGTACTGGTGGGAGGGGCAGGGGTCTACACCATCAATAATATCTGTGAGATCCAAGAGCACTCTCTGTGTGATACCCAGGAGCGAGCTGGCACTAAGTGTCCACCTCCTGGAGTCCTGCGGGTGGGAGAAGCCAGGATAGGTATAAGCACAGTGAAAACAAACCTCCCTTTTATCCAATTTTTTTACTCCCTTCTTACACAGTAAAGTATGGCATTTAATGACTTCATAGCAATAAGATATTCCAAATGAAGTACACTTCTGAAGTTTTTGTTACCCCTGGAGAATTCTTGCCTTAAGAGTAATGGATAGTTCTTAGCTGGGATACAGTGAAGGAGCAATGTCCCTTCAGAAGGGAAAGCTGTACCAACAGAGCAGGCAGCTTCCTCATGAAAGAGCTTAGCTAACTGTCAGTCTCGCTTGCACTGTGTGTGTCCTTGCTCCATTGCTCCTATAAACACTCATATTCCACAAAGAAATCACCACAGAAAGCCCATGTCATATCAAGAGAGCAGAAGCCCCTTGTGTAGCTTTTTAACTTGCATTTACGTCAGACCCTTCCCCATCCCCAGAAAATGAAATTCAAAGCTATGGAAGAGTAGCCATAAAATGAAGCACAGAGGAATGCTAGAGATGGAAGCCCTGCCCCTCGTTACAGTTTAATTACCTTTCTCTGAAACTTCTGGAACTTCTCCTGAAACACTTTAGATTCTTCTGAAGAGCTTTGCAATGAATTCACACTCTCCTGGAGCGTCTTATTAAGAGAAGTTTCAATCTGCAAGTTCAAAGATTTCATTAGCTCTCTGTGTGGAAACAAAACTCTGAGAAGATGCCAATGAAAATGCAAAATAATACTGTACCTGAGATCTGTACACTGCTCCTAAAACACCTCCTGTGATCTGAAGGATCAGGATCAGAAGCAGTCCAATAAAAAACTAGTAAGAAGAAAACAAAAGGGGGAGAAAACAATGGTACTTTTGACCAAGATGATATCTTTTCTTTGAAGTGAATGTTAAGCTTTCATGTGCTTGAATAACCACATAGGTGGGATGAACTCAAGTTCCAGCTGAGCTGCTCCAGTTATTCCTTCTTTGGTGATGAGAAAAGGGGATGCTCAAGCCAGAGTGTGCTCAGCTGGTGATCAAAACAAGGTGCACACCAGAGTAGTGGCATGATGGGCAACGTGTAGGTGAGAGGTGTTTGGCAGGAGGACAGGGAGGACATTCTTGGAGGACCGGCAAAGGGAGCAAGTGGGAATTTATGAAAATAAATGGGATAGGTAGTGAGGGAGGACTGGTGAAGGGAACTTGGGTGATGGTTGGGTGGAACAACGCTGGTGATGTGCTTTGAGATCTCTGGGCTCTGTCTTCTTGCTGATGAGACCACCCATCTTTTTTTCTGCACTAGAATTCAGAAGGGTCTCAAGCACAAGGCAAGCAATGAAAAACACATGATCATAACCAAGCATTTGGTTAGGCAAAAAAGGTCCCCATCCTCATTTGACACTACTTGTAAGGACCTTATCCATCAAATGGAGCTGTGGCCTGTTAAATGTAGGTAAATGTTTTTCTTTCCTACCAACAGCAGCATGCACCGGCTCTCCTTTATGGCACCACAGCACCCCAGAAACCCAAGGACCATAATGATGGAGCCCACGGCTATCAGCAGATCAACCCCCACAAACAGGCTGCTGTCTATCTCCAGCTCCTGAAAAAAAGAGGGGAAAAACCCTTTCAGCTACAAGAAGCTCCTCCTAAAAACATCTGTATCCCCTACAGCAAGAGAATTATTTCATAACTGATAAATATACTGATCAGCAACCATAGAAAAATTCTGATCCATAAATAAACCAACCTCTAATGCCCCCTTCTTAAACATTTTGTTGGGGAACTCTGTAGAACCTGGCTTTTTGCAGTCTTTGTCTCTGCACAAGATGAAAGTCAACTTTGCAGAATAAATAAAGCTCTCGTCTTTAAAGTGGCTTACAGTTAGCTTTCATTTAATGAATCTTTGCTTTTTACCGGAAGTAGAAAAATTATTATCTCGAAATGTCTCCTACATTAACGAAATGTTAAAGAAACAAAGGCATTAGAAGGCCAGGAATGTACTCTGTGGCTCTTCCTAAGAGAACATTTCTCAGAGCGATGCTGGATATACTAGAGAAATAACTAGATGTATTTTCCAAAGCAGCTTTACTTTTCTTCTTCTTTTTTAGGCACAATCTCTAATATTACCCTCAGAGATGAGGACTGTATTTTGATGTGTGGGACATTCAACTAAACAATTCATATACCTCAATATTATTAAATATCAAATTATTCAGTTCCCACAGGACTGACTAAGGCCAAAGGCCAAAATAGAGAAAAATTTTCAAAGAATATTTTCCAACGTGGTTGATGCCAAGATTAGCAAAAATGTCTGGAAGTTGTCACATTTATCTTCTGATGGAAATTGCGAAGGTATATAGACAAGTATAATTTGAAGAATGTGTTGTTATTTCCCCTTCCAAGTTGGACAAAACCTCCTGTTATTTATTCTTAGAAAGCTCTATTGATCTACAGCCAAAGCCTTATGGCCTGTTCAATTATTACTCAGGCAAAACATACATTAGTTTTGAATGGGAACTTTGCCTGCATGGAGGCAAAAATGTGAGAAAATACTTTCAATTTTGGTCCCTACTCTTAATTCACAGTGTTTAGGGAGTACCAAGTGTCACTTCAGGAAACCAGTTCGAGGCAGTAGACTTTTCTGAATAAGAAATCACTCAAAAAGTAAGAAAGGATAATAGTGGTTATGGTTTTCCAAGCTCCATTGTACCACCTGAGCCATCATGGTCAACTAGCAAGTACAGCAATTTCAGCTGCTGCTACAGTGTTGACTGAGGAGTGAAAATTGTCACCCTTCCACCAGAGAATGGCAGAGCTCTTCACCATGACCTAAGTTACCCCATGGCACGATGTCATCATGAACTGAGTCCTGTTGCATCCACCCTCTGCCAGACATGAGACATCAGGGACTGGCAAAGGGCAACAGCACCATCAGCCAAATGGCAGGAAATATAGAAAGCTATCTTCTTATCTCCACCATCTTTTTATTTCCAGATGGGAAAATACTGACTTAAAAATTATTGTTCTTAACTGGTGGACTGCGGTAGAGCAGCAGAGGAGTGATCTGGAGATTTGTGGCTTAATCTACACTAAAGGCTCAATCTGAAAGCTGAAAAATAATGCTTCCATGTCCCTGCTGGCCATTTTTTCACTTCCATGGCCAGAAAGCCTTTTGGAAATAGAGGTATGCAAAGTACATTTTCAAAGTAACTTATATTTCTGTGTCTAAATTCAAAAAAAGAAATATACTGCTTAAACCTTAGAGTCAGATTGTTCTTCCTGTTAGTATAACAAAGCACCAGCACACAGTTTGCAGAGTGCCATTCAGAGAAACACCCATGAGCCATGAAATCAGCTTCAGTCCAGGGTGACGGAAAACTTGCTGTGAGTCAGAGGGCAGTGCCACTGGGAGCTCCTTCAGCAAAATGTTGTCAGGTCCCACAGGGCCAAAGGGCCTTTGCACCAACAGGACCAGCCTCTGCTGTGTGTTTGCAAGAGCAAGGGCTCCTCAAAATTGTATTTTCCCTAGCTTTGCAGAAAAAGAAAGTCATAAAGTCTGAACTAATTTAATAATCCAGATAAAACCCAGGAGGGGAACCCAGGGACTTTCCTCTCCCTTCCAGGAGGGCTGTTAGGACATTTTAATCCTAAGTAAAGATTTTGGGGTCTCTAAGACTCTTTCTATATAAATATGAAGGGAAAAGATTAACACATTTTTAAGGAGCCATTGAAAATAAAAGGGAAAAAACCTTGTTCCCTTTCAAAGTTGCAGTTATTGGAGAAAAAAGGACTGTGTTATTGAAGATAGTGAGAAAGGTGAAAATATTCCCGAGAAACACATAGAAGTAACCCTAGGAATATATATGACTGTACTATTCTAATAGTGAAAGACATTGAAAAGTCTAGGAGCTGTATAGCTCCTCATTATTCTCTCTTAACACTGAAATCGATAACAAAACCATCCTTAGTTTTCATTAAAGGAGAAAGACATGTTTTCCAACATAAATCAGTGTGCATGTGCAAGAACTTACATTAATAACACTAGAAGATATTTCTTGTAGTCACGTCTGTGCTGATGTCAATCATTTTATCTGACTACCTACACCATTTTGTTTAATCTTAAACATCATGAAATGCATGAATCTTTACCCACACAAACCCCCCTTAACAAAAAAATAAGAAATTTGTGGAAATGAAGACAGGAAATGAAAGTGTATGTAGTAGCTTCCACATTTTACAAAGTTCTGGTATGACTGCACACATTTACCTCCTGAGCATCTTTGCTAACACGTATCCATATAGAGACTCCCAAAATAACAGAACCACACACCTGCAGGAGAAAATAAAGGATATTTAGAAAGATCAGCAAATTTAGATTAATGTTCACCATCCAAATTGCACCAGATGCTGGCCAAAATTCTGAAATAATTTGTTTGGCAAAGTGCAAGACACATGAATTGCTGGAGCATAGAATATTGATTCACATCCAGGAAACTTCATAAGGGTAGTTAAATCTTCAGTTGTGCACCAAATCCCTGATGTTTCTACCTCAGAGGACTCCGCATTTCCTTGATGATTTATACATGTGGTTGGGAAGCACACAGAAACTTTGTCAGAGGAGAGAGGAATATAAATTGCTATAGTATGTATATAACATGGCTGCAAAGAACATTGTTTCTTGTATAATGGAAACACATGAGATTTGCTAAGGGATGTCAGTGTAAATATCGTTTCTAGAATTATTCAGGACACATATCTAGAGACATACTCTATAGTAAAACTATCAGGAAAAATTCTAAATGAAGTCTTTCTGCTATTTCTATTGCAACACTGTCTGGCCATTTCCAATCCCTAGAATATTTATCCTGTAAAATGCCTATTATGATAGTTGCTATTTCCATTACACTTCTACAGAAAAAATAATTTAGTCATGTACATGTGAAAGGTACACCAGGAGGACTTGCTTTCAGATTGGATGTTGCCGTCAGGGCAGATGAATCCCAGGTCCAGACATGTTCCCTAATCACTAGTTATGCTCCTGTTTTGTTGATCGTTGAGGTACTGTTCTGATGTCTGCCAGTCACTCTATTCCTAACTCTGCCCATAATTATTCTCACGCAGAATTTCTCTTTATTAAGTGTTGGAGACAGGTAATTAAGAGGCTAATCAGGTGTAAGGTGCCTACTGAGAGGACTGGTAGGAAAGAGAGATCACGGAGGACCAAAGTCTCGTCAAAATTAGAAAAATTTTCCTGCATGTCATTAATACTTAAGTCATAAATGGCCCTAAAATGTTGTTATGAGCTTCCCATGAAGACTGGGACTACTTCTAAACTTTTAAAATAAAAAGAGCTATTTTTATATGTTTTAGATAATTTTTCTTTAAAAAAATGCTTTCCCCGCAAAAAGTTTCATATAATATTCACCATCAAAGACCATAATGACTTTAGCAGATTATTTAATATGGAACAGAGCCAGCATTCAAACATGAGTACCACACATTCTCGTGCTCTAAGTAAAGCTTCTATAAGTACATTTTAAACATGAAAAGGAAAGTTGTACGATCGATGACAGCTACATGATGTTATCAAATTTAACTAGAGCTCCCCACTGAAATCTTGTGATTCCCACTGAATCTGCCTAGAAACTGTTATCATATAACTCTCTATTTGGGTCCTGTTCAGCAGCATGACGTGAGCCATGTGGCTACGCACCAGACAGCATGGGCTCGCTAATGTGAAAATTTCCACTGAAGCTGCTATTGCTACACTTCCAAACAGAATTTGGCCGACTGCTTCACTTGTTATATAGGTCCTCCCATAAAAGTACAGCACAGTAGCAGAAGTAAATATAGCTGAGTGTACAGGAACCTACCAATCAGATGGGAATGCTACAATATTTATTTCATCCATTCAAAAAGGAAATACCTTTTATAAATCAAAATTTCTTGTAAGGTGTATATATTTTAATTATAAAAATAGAGTTGGTTTAGACTGATTAAAGAATCCTCCATTTCAGCAACATCTTAATGTTTTGTTTCTGTTTTCATAATATACAATGCGTACAAGAATGCACAAAGAAATGTTTTGAAGTAACAAATCAAAATGGCCTGTTCCCGGAGAGTCCAAGTAGAACATTTCAAGTCTGCTGGAATACTTCATCCCAATTACTAAGTTTTCTTAAAATAAATTTTTGACTAAAGAAACTTTAATTCAGGACTGTTTCATTTTTAATGAAACAGTGTTTTCTAAGGGAATAAGAAGAGCTGCTTTGAAAAGGTCCTGGCCTGTTTTCCCCAGACTGGATGGCTCTCATAGTTTTGCTTCAACTCTTGACCAAGAATCAGTGATCTCATCATGGTCTGATATGCTGCCCAGGAACAGGACTTTTGCCTCTCAAATTCAATGGGGCCTTCTCTTCTCAAGCCCTTCAGTCTTGGTGTGATGAAGAAATGCAGCCTAGTTAAATGAACACCACCTCATATGAGCCTGCCATGACTCTGCACCAGCCGTATATCAAGACTCTGCACTTCTCAGACGTAGGAATAACAAATTTCTTGGGAATTCCCTCCACTGACACACATATTTTAAGCAACCAGTTTAAGGTTATCAGGAGGAGCTTTATACAGGGTTGGTCCTGCTCAGAAATACACCTGATTTCCTTGAGATTCCTCAAATAAACAGTGCTAGTCCTAAAGAGAGTGTTGTCTATGGTTCATCATAGCTGCTAAGTTTGTGTTGCTACTTTCTTTCCTGACATAAGATATGGGGAAGGGGCCACTTTGATTGTAGATGGAACTGCAAATTTGGTATTAACAACCGATCAAAGACTGCCACATCACTAATCAGGTTGCCTTAAACTAGGGATCAGACATCAATGTTTAGTGCAAAAAAAATCAGAATTTTTCATCACATGGAGTAGCAGAAGCTGACAGAATGAGGGCAGCAGGTGAGACTAGATATCCTGCAGAA